GTTCAAGTGACCAAGTCCTTTCGTATGGTGGGCATTATAGTTCAGAACTCTCTCACTACGCAGCGCTAGTGTGCATGTGAACTTCCTATATAAACTGTATCTCGAGAACCTGGCCATATAGAACGTTGCTGTCTTCAGCAAACTTGTTCAGGTGACCAAGTCCTTTCGGATGGTAGTCATATTATTAAAGAACTCTCTCACTACGCGGCGCTAGTGTGCACATGAACTTCCTTAATATGTTATTTCTGGAAAGCTTGTCCATATAAGATGTTGCTGTGCAATGTGAAAACACGAAACAGAATAGGGATGGATTAGGATTCAAAATGGTGGCAATTGGCTTTCAAAGGGACATTTAGTGGCTATAGACAGCCTCGTATCAGTTCACCATAATTAACGTGGACCATTTACGGGGTAGGTTTGGCGATAATCCATTAGGAAGATGAATTTGATCATTAATTAGGGTATTTTGGAGCTCAAAATCTTGCCTTGCTTTAATTTGTCAGAATAATGCTTACCAAGCATATTGCGTATAATTCTTGCATTGTTGCACTCTGTTCGACATTACTGTCCAATGTGCAGAAGCTTTCGAACTCGATTTATTTTGAACTCGATTTCTGCCGTGGTGGGATGAAAATATAATCCCTATTCATTATAAATGGGTCCAGTACGCTAACAATTTCATCTGCTGTAGCCGGTGCATCTCTTATGATTTCGTTGATTTCACCGTGTTTCTTATCCTCGGTGCACCAAAGTTTTCGTGAATTTGTTGAATTTCGGACATAATCTGCAAATCCTCGTTGTCGTCTTCATTGCATTGTGAATTCGCGAAATACGACGGAAGAATTTTCTTCAAGCAGTTTACCAACGTGCTTTGTTTTATGTACTTTAGAACCAAATCCAAGCAGTCGAAACAATTCTTGATGCTGAACTACTTTCGTGTATCCGCTAGTGAAAGGCCTTCATTCACGACTGTTTCCAGAATAAAACGGTAGTTTCTCTTGACATACTTCAGCTTGAAATTTTTTATGATGCCTTGATCAAGGGGTTGAATCAAATAAGTGATCTTTGGTGGCATGTATAGAAGCATTATGGTGGGATTGCTTATGGTGGGCGGATGCAACGGAGCGTAATCAAGGAGCAGCAAAGCCTTGAAGCTAATGTTCTTGGCTGCGCAAAACTCCTCCGTCGTCCCCTACACGTCATTTTCTTTCCGAAAATACCCAGATTTTAGAGTATTTGACAGTTTTCTCGAACCGATTGTTGCCATCTTGCATTACAAAATAGCGTCTGGCATTGATTTACAGTCTCAACACGTCATCCCCTATTCAGAAATACCCATGTTGTAGAGTAGTTGCCAGTTTTTTTTGCACTGGTAGTCGACATCTTGGATTCCAAAATGCGTCTGGAATTAATTTCTGTTCTCTATACGTCATCCCCTTTCCGAAAATATCCATATTGTAGGGTATTTGACAGTTTTTCTTGAACCGATGGTCGCCATCTTGGATTTCAAAATGACATCTAGCAACGATTTCCAGACTCCAAGCGTCATCCCTTTTCCGAAAATACCGATATTGTAGCGTATTTGACAGTTCAAGACCAACAATTGAAATGGCATTAACTCCATTTTGTAAACAAACCTTGTAAACCATTTTCTCGCGAACCAAAACCTTCATTCGCAAACCTAAACCACAATCGGGTAGAGGAGAATTTCACCTACCTGTTCATTATGTTGGTTTGCCTTTGCGGACTTTGGTTCGTGAGAAAATGGCCTTACAAGGTTTGTTTACAAAATGGAGTTAAGGCCATTTCAATTGTTGGTCTTGAGTTTTTCTCGAACTGATGGCCGCCATCTTGGATTTCAAAATAACGTCTGGCATCGATTTTCAGCCTCTACACGTCGTTCCCTTTCCGAAAATACCCATATTGTAGGGTATTTGACAGTTTTTCTTGAATCGATGACCACCATCTTGTATTTTAAAATGGCGTCCGAAATCGATTTACAACCTCTCTACACGTCATCCCTATTCCTTTTCGTGTCCTCGCATTGCACAACAACATCTTATATGGTCAAGCTTTCCAGAAATAACATATTAAGGAAGTTCATGTGCACACTAGTACCACGTAGGGAGAGAGTTCTTAAATAATATGACCACCATCCGCAAGGACTTGGTCACCTGAACAGCTTTGCTCAAGACAGCAACGTTCTATATGGCCAGGTTCTCGAGATACAGTTTATATAGGAAGTTCACATGCACACTAGCGCTGCGTAGTGAGAGAGTTCTGAACTAATATGGTCACCATCCGAAAGCACTTGGTCGCCTGAACAACTTTGCTGAAGACAGGAACCTTCTATATGGCCAGGATTTTGAGATACTGCTTATATAGGAAGTTCACATGCACACTAGCGCTGCGTAGTGAGAGAGTTCTGAACTAATATGGTCACCATCCGAAAGCACTTGGTCGCCTGAACAACTTTGCTCAAGACAGTAACTTTCTATATGGCCAGGATCACGAAATATTATATGTTGGACCTAAGATCCATAGATCATAGCACCCGTCATAAGTAACATAAAAGTGACACAAGCTTGTTGGTCTATCTTATTACAACAACTTTGTCCAAGACAGTATAGCTCTATATATTGTAACAAATAAGATAATCCACCACAGCCCCCATTAGTGAAAATCCCATAAGCTGTGGGTTTCCTTATTCACGATTCCTTATTCACGCCCCCGTTACCCCGGCAATAAGGATTCCTGACTGTATTTGATTTGGTGTGGGGGATGGGATTAGGGTTTGGACGGGCATATGGGTGATTATATTACGTTAGGATAAAGTTGAAACAATGAGAGATGTATCGCTTCAGTTTGGGAAATATTGCAACTCGCAAACGATGAACCATTCTGATGGTCCATATTACCGTGAAGGCGCCGTGGGTTGGCAGGGACCATTAGGGGACGGCTTGATGTTTATAAAGTACTATCAGTTAAAACTGTGTTTTTGAGATTTATCTCTATACATATATTCTTTGGTGTTTCGTAGCGGATAATCAAGTTGGTGTTCGCTGATTCAAAGAATGGATGGGATAAACATTGAGCTGTCCATTGTTGGGTGTTGTTGAACTTGTGGTACTTGCCCAACATTTTCTATGAGTATCCAAGTAACCAAATAGTCACAAAGTAGCTTTGAATGTGGGAAAATGTCACTGAGACACTATATGGTAACTTGGGTATTTGGATAAAACTATTACTTATAGTTATAAAAAAAAACTAATCCTGGTTGTATCTCTTTTTCGTTTGCATGCATTACAGGTGGTGAGCAAATAGATGATGAAGAAGAAGAAGATGGCTTTATCACAGAGCCCCGTCTCGGAACGAGTGTATTGTTGATGGACCTGCACACTTAGAAAAAATCATGTAAATTTAGGTGCTCTGAGAGTGGCATATACGAGCGTCATTTTTGACATACATTTGAGTCATAACAGACGCAAAATATAGCTCAATCAAACGTACTTTTCGTCGAGCAACGAACTTTTCAGTCTCGGAGCACTTAATATTACATGACATGTTTGTTTACGTCTCATCCTTTATGTCAAAGACGGATTCCGTCACGTGTAAAATTAGTTATTTCTAAGTGTGTGGTCTACGATTCAAGATTGGTTTTTGTGATGATAAGTATCACAAAAAAGGAAAATAAGTAGCACGATCTTCATCGAAATGTAAGTATTATTGACAATAATCATAACAATCAACTCGTATATACATTGAAATACATATATAAAAGGAAAGGGACGGTCCAATAGGGCATCCGATTGAAGCGATTTTAACGGGGAGAGTGGGAATGCCAACTCCCTGTTGATAACATTTCGTGGATAAAGGGCTGGCTTTTCTCCCCACTCATCTTCCTGTTTGCGGGCTTGTCTTTTTGACCAATTGGCTGATCAAGTTGCTGGAAGGAGATTCTTTATTGTTCCGTAGATGCGTATAGCCGACTTTGCCTATCAATCTACCCAATCCGTTTTTGGCCCTTCATACAGCGACATGTTGAGGACAATCAGAGGTTATTAAGCTTGATCAAGACAAACAGAGAAAAGAACCCACTGCTGTTGGACTTAGTTTCCGTGCTACAATGGGTGGTAAACCACTATCATCATCATAAAGCCGTCTGGATATTTTTTTCAAGACTTCAGGTTGATCAGGTACTATTGTACTGAAGATCTCAAACGATTCATCAATTCAAAACACATCTCTCGGATATTCCCTCATGATGCAAGGAGGCTCTGAGAATGTTTCAAATACCATCAGGCGTTCTGAAACTCTTCAACTATGCAACAATTCAAATTAAATTTTCAACTGTGGCCTGACATGGCCCCTCACAGATCACGATGGCATGGTATGGTCACCTCAGGATACCTTCGTCATCTTTCCTTTCTATATCACTTTGTTTGTCTCCACTAAGCACATATTGGCTTAAAACGGTTAAAATGCATTTATCCTATGCTTCATGTTTTTCCTTACTCAAACCCAATATGTACTACATAAAAAAAATATGGCCTCGGATAGGGGAACAATTTTCTTCTGGATAATCGAACCCCCGGCTAATCGATTATGACCTGTATGTATAAGCCCTAGAAGCTCGATAAATTGCCTTCCCTTCCCCATCAAGCTGTCCACGTAGTTTATGGGCATTCTCTTATATTCTGTAAAGTGGAACATCACAACTCAAATATGTGACAATACGACTTTGTTTGTGAAGGCTTCTTTAGACCCATCTAGACCTGGTGAAGTACATCCATAAATTTAGCTGCCGAGATTATTGCCATTATTTTGATCCTGAACTAACTTCTGTAAATCAAACCTATCAGCCAAAATTCACCATAAACGTCAAACAAATGAATCATCTCACTAAAAAACGATCTATGTTTCCGCTGGGGAAACATGTGCCCGTTAAAACTCTATTTTATGATTTTATGCTTTTATTATGTTCATTTTTATTACAACACACAGCATTGTTTCGCGATGGAAATAAATATCTTAATGCTATTCTCGGATTAGTCAACTTTGCTTTCAGACAACAGCGAATTTGGTTTTCAGATGCCTTTGCTGACGCCACGATCGACGGACGGTAGGATGCGACCGGACCTGTTCTCTGCTCATCACTTTTATTTTTTTTAATTTCTGCTAGGCGAGGCTATTTCCTTACAGAATCTGATAGCAACAGCAGTTAAATTAGTCTCGTTTTGCATGCTCGTCATGGCTTAACTTTAGTAGCGCTGCTTGCAACTCGGCTCGACACTGATAAAGTTGTTCCTCGATGGATGCTTTTGCTGTTGTAGTTGCAACTGATGAGACTGTTGTCGTCTTTGTTGTTGTTAAAATCTTCGTAGATGCTGCTGTAGTTGAAGCTTTTGTCGAACGAGTGGTAGACGTAGAGGATTCCGGTGTCATCCTTTGGGACACAGTAATTCGGTTCCGTGTTGTTTCGGGAGCTTTTGTAACGAAATCGAGTTTCGATTCTTGTCCACTGGTAGTCGTGAGGGATATCGAACCGATATTGATGCTTCTAAGAGTGGTAGCTCCCTTTACTTGTTTAGTTGATGCATTGGCGTTCGCTCTTTTCGGAGGACCATACTCGGTAGGTGGTCTTGGAACTGGAAGGTAAGCTGTTCCCGGGAAGGTGGACGCTCGTGGATCCAGTCCGATGGCAGCTGAAGTCTGTTTCTCCTGACGAGAGGAAGCATCCACGTATTCCGATTCTGGGGTTCCATACTCCAGGTAGATCGATGGCTGCTTGATATCGTATTCGTTGGACTTATACGGATTGTCCAAGCTGGAATCGCTGCAAGTGTTAGAATACTGTTCTAGCAACCGTAAACAGGATTCGTTTTTCGGTTTCTGAACATACGCATACAATCCAGTGGCATCGTACGGGGGATTGCGGAAGGGCTCGTGACCACCCTCGTAGTTGCCGAATCCCCCATCGTACGGAACGTGCGAATGGATGTAGCGTCCTCGATCGCCATCGTCGTAGTGAACGTAGCGATAGCGATCCAAATCTTCTACGTAGTCACCTGCAAGAATATCAATGGGATTCGTTAAAGCGCATGTTTTCCGGAGGTGATTAATTGCTTCCCGTGGTGTCTGAGTGTTTGCTGTGATATAGGTTAGTATCGATTTTTATAAAGTTTTATATTGTTAATGATGCTGCAAGGCGGAAGTGTGTGGCTGGTGTCGAAGACCTTGCAGGTAGATTTATTACTCAGATGAAATTTCCAATTTCGATGAGAAACGGCTGTGTTCCAATGAGGGTTTGTTAAAATCAATCATGTTTGTGTGTACTTATACCTACGATCTGCCAATCGGGGCTGCCTGATTCATTGATTGTGTAAGGGTGCGTCGGCCAATTTATGCGGTGCAAGTTATGAACTGGTGCAGAGTTAGAATTAATGTTTACAGATACCTTACCTCCATTTGTGTGGACGTATTTTCCATGATTTCCGTAGTTATACTTTCTCTTATTGTATTTGCCATCGTGGGCTGCTCGAGCAGATGTGCATGAAATGGTGCCCAGTATTAGGAATCCAATCTGAAAAAATGGTATGTTTCATTTTACTGTTGAAATTAGGCTATCATCTTATGGAAAAAATCTAACTATTGACAAGGTGCTTAATTTCATAAGATTTAAATGTTTCAATATAAAGGGTGATACGGTCAAAATTTGGTCAAGGGAAAACGCGTGTAAATCGGTGAAATCGTTTATTTAAAAAATCAAATTAAATTTCTTTTTCAAGTTCAATTAGTATAAAATTCAGGAAAAATATTCAGTTAGGCTTCCGCTTTTCCAAATCCGAATTGCCGGGCCTTACGCTTGACCCCTGCCATCAGATTTTGTACAGCCACCTTGTCCACCTTCTTCGCCGCAGAAAGCCAGTTTGCCTTGAACTGCTGCTCGCCCTTAGCAGTTTTTTTGGTCTTCTTTAGGTTCCGCTTGACAATAGCCCAGTATTTCTCAATTGGGCGGAGCTCTGGCGTGTTGGGAGGGTTCTTGTCCTTGGGAACCACCTGCACGTTGTTGGCGGCGTACCACTCCATGGCCTTTTTACCGTAATGGCAAGATGTAAAATCCGGCCAAAACAGTACGGAACAACCGTGTTTCTTCAGGAAAGGCAGCAGACGTTTATTCAAACACTCTTTCACGTAAATTTCTTGGTTGACAGTCCCGGAAGCTATGAAAATGCTGCTTTTCAAGCCACAGGTACAGATGGCTTGCCAAACCAGATATTTCTTTGCGAACTTTGACAGTTTCATGTGCTTGAAAACATCTGCTACCTTTCCCCTTCCTTTTGCCGTATAAAACTCCTGTCCCGGAAGCTGCTTGTAGTCGGCTTTGACGTAGGTTTCGTCGTCCATTACCACGCAGTCAAACTTCGTCAGCATCGTCGTGTACAGCCTCCGGGATCGAGCTTTGGCCGTCGTATTTTGTTTATCATCGCGATTTGGAGTCACTACCTTCTTGTAAGTCGATAGTCCGGCTCGTTTTTTGGCTCGATGCACGGTTGTAGACGATACACCCAGCTTATTTGCGGCATCTCGGAGAGAGAGGTTAGGGTTTCGCTTGAAACTACCGGCAACTCTCTTTGTCGTCTCAGCGGCTTCCGGTTTTCGATTTCCCCCCGATCCAGACTTCCTGGCTGTCGACAAACGTTCCCCAAACACTTTAATTACATTTGTAACGGTTGATTTGGCAACTTTTAGCGATTTTGCCAACTTTGCGTGCGAGTTGCTCGGATTTTCGCGATGCGCGAGCAAAATTTTGATACGCTGCTCTTCTTGCTTGGACGGCATTTTGACAACTGAAGAGTGAATTCCAAAATCAAAATAGGAGCAACATTCTACACACAAACACCTTCAAAATGAGGGGTGTTCAGGTTTTTTAAATGCAAAATTGAAAGAAATACGTCAAGTTGATATTGACCAAATTTTGACCGTATCACCCTTTATGTCAACACTGAAACTGACAACGCTCTATAACGGACAATTAAATGATTCGATAGAAGCAGGCCTTGACACCAGAGGAAGAGCATCTTCAGTAGTATGGGCTGGTGGAAAAATGATTTGAGAATGTGTGGCCAAATTCTCTTTCAATTAATATTATCAAATAAGGCTGATGAAAATAGTATTTTCATTTTATGTCGGAAATCACTCAAATAGGAGGAGGGGGATGAAAAAAAATGATAACTAGGAACGAAAAAAAGTTTAGATTTAGGATATAGTGAGGAGCGATTGACGATTTTGAGTAGGGCTGATTTTTCTGCCCCTTTAATATTTTTCAAATTTTTGAAGAAGGTGGGGAGTGTCTTAACATAAAAAAAATAAAAAATTGTATAGTTAATTCCATACATTTTTTCTACTTTCTATCGCTATTTCCACAAAGTTCAAAACATGGCCTTTTTCTCATCGAAAGAAGCAATATTTAACGAGAAATGGCTTATTTTCCGAAAATCTCCCTACTTAAAAACTGGTCTAGCCAACACTGGCGATGTTACATATGTCGGATTCGAAGGTGGAAAGTAGTATCCAATTTACTTTGGTACGGTCAATAGTACCATAACGATGTTAGCAATGAGCCCATCATCTTTTGCACGAGCTCTGTTTCCACTTGTTTTGCTGTCAAATTCCATTTCAGCTTGAAATCCTTCAGGTCAATTGAGGTTCTACCCTTTTTCGTCAGTATGTGCTTCACAATGAATCAATGAAAATGCTGAGGTTTTGACAGAACTCTGCTGTGGCTACCAAAGTATTTTACATTTCATCGTCCATATACAGTAGCACCAAAAACATTCTGTTGTGGGTTCAAAACTTGCTCAATTTAGATGGTTAGGTTTTGAACCCACCACAGTTTGCTTCTAGAGCTACTGTATATGGACGATCAAATGTAAAATACTGTGGTAGCCACAGCATATTTCTGTCAAAACCTCAGCAATTTCATTGATTAATTGACCAGTATTCCTCAATTGGCTTTAGTTCCGGAGTATTGGCCGGATTCATCTCCTTGGGAACCACTGTAACGTCATTTTTTGCTGTACCACTGTTTGGTGGAATTTAAGTAGTGGCAGTCCGGCCAGAATAGGCAATCCACCTAATGCTGCTCCAGAAAAGACAGTAGTCTCTTCCGTAGGCACTCCTCCTGTTAAATTTGATGGTTCATGGTCCAAGAAGTAACAAAAGTTTCGCTTTTCAGTCCACCACTGCAGATTGCTTGCCAGACAAGGAACATTTTTGGAAATTTCGATTTTTTATTATTTCCTCCTTGGCACTCTTGCGGTCAACCGAAATCCACAATTCCTGCTCAAGAATGTAATCGAAAAGTGCCACGAGTGGATAGACTGGGATTTTATAAATGAACTTATCCTGACAACCAATGCCTACTATGATTTTACAAACTCTAAGTTTGATTCAGAGAAATTTTGAAAAAAAAAACATTACTCAAAAAATGCCTTAAATGCCCTTCCGTGGTCAACCTTTAATAATATTCAATAGTAATTTCTTGTTCCTAAAGTTGATTCCTTCTTTAGAACATGAGCAGTAGACTGATACTAAATTTGAATTTTTCGCTCCAAGTGCTCTAACGGTTCCAAATCGTGCTTAATTAGCATCCCAAAATTTGAACTAATTTGGCACAAACCAGTTGAAGTTTATATGGAAATTACTACGGGAAATAAAAATTTGTTGTTTATTTCTATGTAACAATTCACCATATTGCTCTGTTTTGAAAAATGACAGCTGTGATTCCTGGAAATTTTCTCAGCAACAACTTTGTTGGAGATCATTTTTCGAAAAAGCAATCGATCTGAAAATACTCAAAAGTTATTTAGTTCTTTTGGAACTGGCTCCTTTTTGTATCTTGAGCTGTTCTTCCTCAGATAAAATAGTTCAATCAATTCAACTAATAGCGCCGCTGGTGGTGTAGTGGTAAGCGTGATTGCCTCTCTCCCCAAAAGACCTGGGTCCAATCTCTGATCACGTCACGTCTTCCTTCGGAAGGGAAGTACAGCCGTTGGTCCCCGGTTCATAAGTTGTTGGGTCGATAGGTAGGGTCCAGGTGAGAGAGCTGCTTCCTTAGCGTCCGTAGCATTGTTACTCAGTACGGAAAACAAGATCGACGGAAAAAAAATTAAGTTTTAGAAAAATTTATTCAACTGAAATGCTTAATAGTAATTTCTCTCTCTTGAATTTGAAATCCTTCTCAAAAACATGAGTAGTTCTTTGAGAGATTAAACCAAATGAATAACTCTGCTAAATGGAGTTATTCGAAGTAATGTCATATAGTCAATCTCACTCATTTAGTTAATAAATATCGTTTATTAATATGGCTGTTCTTGGAGATTTTTACCTCCTTTATCCAATGAGTTACACAACAAAAACATGAATTTTATTGGTGATGTAAACATCCATGCATGCGAAAATTCGTGCATGTAAATTTCTATTTCATGTAAACTAGCAGCTTGCAAGAAATGTTGATAACAAAAGTGGACAGTTGCATACAATATATAGAATGCTTAATGACATGTCTAATCAATTTACACGATTTATAATGTAAACTTGTATAATATAGCGGAAATTTACACTACTTTTTCAACTGTGTTTTCATTCTGAAGGATGTTACGATCAAACATTGGTCGACTTAAACTTGACACATTTCATTTAATCGATCATTCAAAACACCTGAACATCCCTCATTTTGTAGGTGTGTACGTGCAGAATGATGCCTCTATTTTGATGATGGCATCCAGGCAAAAGCAGCAACGCATCATCAATTTGGTCGAAAATCCGAACTACTCGCATGCCGAGTTAGCTAAATCTATAAAAGTGGACTAATCCACTGTCACCAATGTAATAAAAGTGTCCGGAGAACGTTTGTCGACAGCCAGGAGCCCTGGATCGGGGTGAAATCGAAAGTCGGAAGCCAGAGCGACGGCAAAATGAGTGGGCAGCGATTTCAAGCGGAACCCCAAACTCTCCGTCCGAGATGTCGCAAACAAGCTGAGAGTCGCAAATCAAGCTAAAAAACCAACAGATAGGGACCCCAAATCGCAACTATAAACACAGCCAAAAAATAGCAGTGGGTGGATGGTACCACCCACCGCATATATGGAGAGGCAACTGTAATTAATCTTATATGCAACGGAATTCATCTTTATCCTAAAAGATGTATTTCGTGTCTGTTATGACTCAACTTTATGTCAAAAATGACGCTCAATTTTTAGATAAACTGTACATGTAAGTGATCTTAAGCTGACATATAAGCCTCAGAGCACCTACATGTACAGTGTATCTCAAAATTAAGCGTACAGATGTCATTAAAGTTTAGAAAAAAAAAACGGCTGTAAAGCCTAATTTACAGGAATACGTTTCTGAATTTTTGATGCTGAATCATCATACATTTATCAATTAATGGTGGTTTTGGTTGCGTATATTAAAAGTAAGAGCTGTTTAAGAAAAGCGCTTTTTATAAATACCTAAATATCTTGGAATACAATGAACTAAACATCTTGAAATTTTGCTCATTTTGAGTCATAATAAAGATCAGTAATACCTATTCAACTAATTTTTCTAAAATTCTTCCACTTAAAAAGGGTTAAAAGTTCGAGCGTTTTACAAAATTAAGTCCTGCTTCATACAGGTTCTTCAAATAAAGGACAAAACTATAGCGAAAAATCAATAAATATCTGTTTAACCACCAGCCGTGATTTTAAAAAATATATATCTAATTACAATGTTTAAAAAAATCCTTTAGGGTGTACACTCAATACACTGTATATACATTTTTTCATGTGTGTAGCTTATCTGTAGGCCCCAAATTTTGACCAGTTAATCCTCAAAACTATCCTTCTAACCTCAAACTTGGTTAAGGAGTCTACCCTAATAAAAAATAACCATAAACGAACGATAACCCAAATCATTGAACTATTCCACAAATGGTTTGGATGATACCCAGAACACGTCGTTAAGCAAATTAACCATACAATTTTTATTAGGGTAACGCTGGAAGCAATTAAATCCATAAATTTCCTCAAATTGTCTATGCTATCCGGCTTGACATTTCATCACCAAGTTATTTAAATGTAATTAACATTACTAAAAATCCTCCACTAAAATCACACAATCCATAAATACACCACATTTCCAAGGATTTCCGACCCATCACGATCAGCAACGCTACATTTCACGAATTCCTCCGCTACTGTGTGTATCACCATGTGCTGTTTCAGCCGCAGGCAAGGCCGCGAAAGCATTTGCATTCTAAGCTGTCCATATTTCGTATCACTCGTAAAATAAATCACCCGGTATTCTTTCTCCACTTTGGATCCGCATATTTTGTGCAATTTTCCTCCCAACGCGTCGCACTTAGTAACGCCACTAAGGCTGTCCACCCCCGTACCGTGTGGATCGGTATCCACCTAATCCATCTGGAATGTCCCACCACAACATCCCTTGCGGCAATATCCCGATCACACTAAAACTCCACTTATAACGCACACCTCTGACATTCGGGAACCGATGCGGGTATAAATTTCTCGATGTTATTAGACTTGACTCACCAAAGGTGTTGCCACTGCAAATTTCATCGTGCTGGTGCTGATGCTGATGCTGATGCCCGGGGAATGCTGGATCTGTTGTTCTGCTGCTGCTAGTCACTAGTTCGTTAGCGCGGCCCTGCCGAGGACGTTTCCTAAGTACTTCTGAATTCTGTAGTAATTTCAATCAAACTAAACTGAGTTTGCAGCAAAAGTCTCATTAAATAGTACTGCACGTACGGACTGAGTACTCTTAGCAGAGCCGTGACGTCGGCGGCGTCATCGAATATTCCACGTTGATCCGGTAGTAGCCAGCCAGAGTAAAAGTGTCGACGACGGTCAATCGATAATTGTAGCTGAAAATATGCATTAAAAATTTATTTTACGATGGGAGATTCACTTTGTTTGTTCACGAGGGAGGACACGAACGGACATTCCCCAAAAGCGTTCACACTTGGCTGCAGCGGGGAGAGATCCTAAACGGTACATGAATCGACTTAGTTCGGTGAAGATTTACGGAAACTTTGATTATTCGACATTTTGTTCGGAATTTCAGCCTCTACCAAACCGAAGAAGTTCGATCAAGAATCGTATCACCGAGGTGGTCAGGCCATTTTTGGACCATTGCTCAGACGGTTATCGGTTCTGACCATACTGGTGTCCGGTGAGTTGCATCTGAGAGTCTCATAACCTCACCAAGGTCAGTCAAGGCAGTTAACAATTTTTGACGGTCGCTTACAATCCGTCCGGTCTCTTTTCGGCTGGTAGTGTGTCGTATGGTCGGTAGTTGGAAAGTTTTCAATCAAGCTCAGTGGGAAATCAATTAAGCGGTAGTCCGGGACGAGATCGTCTTTCCTAGTGTGTCATGCTGTGATGATTAATCACCTGATAGAGATTGAATAAATTTTCGCCCGGTGACAAGAAAGTGGCGCGTAATGATGGTACCTCGCACTTTATCGATGCTGATTTGCATCAGGAAGGGAGGCGTCTGAAGTTGGGCTGGGTTGGGTTGGGATTGAGTGAGACGTGGTTGTATTTTATGACCGTGTGGACGTTGGCTGCGATTCAGAGTTCACGATGAGCAAATTCTTCAGCGGAAGGCTTTTTCTTCACTAGACTAGAGGATCGTAATTTTTGCTGAATGCTTTTAAAGGTTCATTTAGTGTCTACTTAGCGATGACCACCAAATCAATATTTGTGGTGGTGGGTGTAAGTGGCCTCAAGTGGATTTATTTGTGCGTCTGATATCCATGGATTATTTTTTATTATGTGGGTTTTAGTCGGGAAAGGCAATAGTTGGTATTTGAGTTCAATCTCTTTATTAGTATGATGCTCATTCCCAAAACCGGAAAGAAGTGAGCATGCATAGAAACGTCGAGTAATGCTAAGTGATTGAAACCCAAGAAGCACTCAGTCCAATACTACTTTCAAAATGAGTTTAATTGTTATATTCCCTAATATTTTGTTAGTATTTCCTGCATGAACTTTAATTGATTAAATTAATAACAAATAATTCGAATGTTTGAAAGAGTGATTATGGAATGGGGAATTCAAATGAATGCTCTGAGCAGAAATTTTCTGTAATCCTACGAGTTCCATAGCAATTTCAGGTCCCTCTATAATGAGTACTCCGTAAAATTACACAGGAAAATGGGGAAATGGTAATGTCGGCCTAAATGCCCCTAATTTGGGCCCATATATAAATTCAGCAATCGATTAAATTTTCAATAGCGACCAAAAGTATCCGTCCCAATGACGCGTTCATCTAGATAAAATGGATAAATAGCTGGTTTTTAGCGATGGGCCCAATCTTAGATCCATAGGCCAACATTAGAGCCATTTCCCTTAAATAGAAAATTCTAGAGGAATTATAAAAATAATGTCATGGCATTTGTGAGGAGAGTTCTAAGGATGCAATTCTGATGATATTTCTAAAATAATAAGTCATTTCTGAGCATAATTACGAATGAATTAATAAAAGAGCTTCAAGGGAATTTCCAAAAACAATCCAAATGGAATTGAATTGTAAGCACAGATATGATATAAGACAGAATTTGGGGTCGTGACATAAACATGGACCCAGATGGCCAATAGATCGTCCTCCGGAATATCCGGAACACCCGTAAATTGGTTAATCCATGAAACTGAAACGTGCCGCGTTTTTTTTTTTGGAACACTTGGAACTGTGATGTAAGAAAATTTTTTGAGTCGTGACGTAAACGTGGATCCGGATGGCCATAGAACCGTGCGTTGGAAGATCCTGAACATCCGTAGAAGTGGTAAATCCATAAAACTGATCCTACAGCTCCACAGTTTTTTCCACAGATATTAGGAACTGTGATATTAGAATTAATGTGGGGTCGTGACATAAACATGGATCTGAATGGCTACGAGCATCAGCCAAACACGATCTTGTTTATACGAAATTCCTCGACATTCCTCCACAAAGTGTTCAGCATTGGCTGAGAATTTCAAAATGGCTGAACCTTTGCCATAAATCTTGAATTGAACCAGCTCACTTTAAATGCGCATGTGTGTGTGTGTCCGTGCACATTTAGCAATACAGTTGTATTCGCGCAACCTGGTCTATACAAAGTGTGGAGATCTAGCTTTCACGTATGTGTTGGTAGTGGATAAAATGTAAACATTTCAGGAGACGATAAAAAAACCCATGTAACTCTAGTATCAGTTTCATAGAATTAGCACTCTTACGGATGTTCCGGACATCCCGAAAGACGGTCCCATAGCCATCCGGGGCCTTATTTATACCATGACCCCAAATTCAAAAAACTGTGGAGCTCTAGGATGAGTTTCATGGATTTAACACTTTTACGGATATTCAGGATCTTCCGGAGGACGGTCCCATAGCCATTTTGGGCCATGTTTATGTCACGACCCCAAATTCATTCTTAAATCTCAGTTCCTAATGTTAAAAAAAAACCCACGGAGCTCATGGATTTACCACTTTTACGGATGTTCCGGATCTTCCGTTGTCTCCAGGATATGGCTAATTATGAAGAATTGTGTCCATTAATCTAAATTATAGATCTTAAACTACTTGTAAAACCTATAAACACATCTTAAAAAATTGTAACGACTCGCTTTTAAAAAAGTAGAAGACCCTATTTTCAGCTTTTTTTGACGAAGGACTACGTCTTTCGGGAAGATGGGGGTACACTTTATGAAAACCAGAAAATGAAATTATGAAAGATTTTGAACGTTGATAGCTTAGCTGCCCCTGGACCAATTTCAAAAAATGTATCATTGTTCGATCAGAAACATTTCCACGCATCGATAACAATGCTTTTGACTGTTGATTTTTAAATTGAAACTATTGATTATGTGGTAAATTTCAAGCATTGTCCAAAAGTTTCAAAATAACTAGCAAATCCACCAATTACGTACATGTATGTGCTGTTTCCCCAACACAGTCATCAGAGAATGGTTCGTAGATGAAACAAGTCTAAGTGGCATTTGCCTCCGATCTTCGGGCGTGTAAAAATAGGAAAGATGCAATTGCGGAAAATTTGGCTGCCAATTCAGAGCCACACGCTCCCAACGACCACACAAAAAGCTCTCCCTTTTTTTTTCCTTGGATTTGTTTTCTGGCTCGACGTGGTGGTGTCAAGCGTATTTCCGGTCTGATCGAGGAAATCCGAGGTGTGCTGAAGGTGTTCCTAGAAAATATGATCCGTGATGCCGTCACCTACACTGAACACGCCAAGCGCAAAACCGTCACGGCCATGGATGTGGTCTACACTCTGAAGCGACAGGGACGCACTCTGTACGGTTTCGGAGGTTAAAACTTATCACCAACATAACAAAACAGCCCTTTTCAGGACCACCAAGTTCATTTCAGAAAAGAGCTAGAATAGAGTAACCCATGATTCACCCATTCAATTTGTCACTAAATACATCAAAATGATACAAAAATCAAATAATTTGTTAGGGAAATAAATAAGGTTCTATTCGTAGTCTTATCGGTGTGTTAAATTTATTCCGTTTCACTTTAATAAACTGAGAAACGCTCATCGTATGCATTCTCCTGCTACGCGACATCTTAGAAATCGTCCGAACCGTTTATAATACGGAGTACAGAAAGTACAGACTTAGAGTACAGAGAGTACAAAAGGAGAGGAGCCAGTGTCGCTACTTGATAGAAAACTACTCATGATGGGAGAAGTCTGTGCACTTTATCGGTATGTTCAAAATGAAAGGCATTCAAAATTTCATATTGTGATTGTTTCCCAAACACAGACATCATATTCAAAGAGCATCGTGATTATGCATTGTAGAATTCTCTGTCATTTCCAACTGGTACAGTAAATGCTTCAGTGTTTACACTCCGCGTTGGACAGAGTCAATATTCAAAGCGAGACAAGTGTCTTTTGAGAAATTCTGTGCAAATCATGAAAATGTCTCAACACATGGCTGCTAAATATCTCCGCAATTATGGGAAGCGCGTGAGAGACCAGGAGGCAGGAAAACCTGCGAAACAGATGCGGACCGTTGCTGAAAACGTTCGAATGTGTCGAGCCAACAAGAAAGCGGTCAAAGATAATGCGTCGCCAACTACTCCCATAGTGCAATTTAGAAAATTCAACGCTAAAATTTATCCTAACATTGCTTTGCATTTTGCATTATCTTTATGTGATTTTTATGTCAACCCTCAGTTTAAAGAAGAAACATACGATATAATGTTATATTTTCTAAGTTTATTGTTTCAAGAAAAGTTCGTCTAAAAAAAATGAAATTATTTGATGCATTTATTTCTCTCTAAAATTGTATTTTTGCCAATACTACATATCAATTAACATACATTGTTAAAGATGTACATTTTTTTTCAAATCTCTTTCTTGTATTAATAATAAAGTATGCAATATTATTTATTTAATTTGATAAAACAGAGGACTGTAGCAGTCCTCGTTGAAGTGGTAAATTATTCGATAACACATTACACCAACTTCAACTTGCAAAATGACATTTTTATCTTCCCAGCTGTAATTTGAACCAGTAAACAAATATATAAATATATTTTTAAGAATAATTTGCATTGCAATTCCCGATATTCTACTGTCATCGCCTTTTCTATAAGGTGATCAAAATATCGGAAGAAGTGTGCTGCACACCAAATCACATGCATGTGGCATGTAACAAAAAGTGTGTTGGTTAGTTCTTTGGCGTTAATGTT